ATATATGTGTATATTAAGGTATATGTACTGGGGGCTGAAGAGATGGCACATCATTTAAGAGCAATTGCTGCTCTTGCAGAGGATCTAGATTTGATTCCCAGTATCCGCATGATGATTCACAACCTTATCTGACTCCAGTTCCAAGGGGATTCAATGCCCTATTCTGACCTGAAGGCACTGAGCATGCATGTGGTACCTACACATACATGCAGGCAAAACACCTACACACACAAAAGTTTATACTGTGCGTGATCAGACTTTTTATACTTTATTACTTTGTAAATAACAAAGTATAGCAAATTCTTACATGGTATTTATATTGTATTGGTTGTTATAATTAATCTAGAATTATTTGAAGTATATATGTAAGTTATATGCAAATACAATTCTTCTATTTAAAGGATTTAATATCCACAGTGGGGCAGACAGAAAGATTCTTAGACTCAGTCTCTCACAAATACCCAGACATGCCATATATTTTCATTCTCTTTCAGATTTTATTATGCTTAATTTTCATTTTATTTTTTTTAGCCTTTTAAATGAGTTGATTTAGATGGGTGTGGTGGTGTACACCTTTAATCCCATCCCTTGACTTGTATTGAAATCCTGCCACCACCAAAAAAGAAATTCACAGTTTAAGGTAGAAATAGCTGAGTTAAATTAAAACTGGAGACAGAGAACCGTTGTATAAAGTTTACTACAATATTAACAGGTTCCAGAATAACACTTATTCTAGCTATTAGCGGCAAAGGTATTATGGCAGGAAATCCAGATGTTTAAGTCGAATTGAAGATGATCACCATCATCTCAGGTCCAAGGAAGAGTTTACTTTTGCCAGATTTCTCGATCCGAAGCTAGGGCAATTCCCCATGGCCTTGGCTTTTAGCCCCGAGTTATTTCTGCTCTCCTTTTGTTTTCGCTTGAAAGCCTTGTCTTCTTCATCTTCTTGTTCTGCTTCTTGAGCTGTTTCAGGGGCTTCTATTTTACTGCTTCTGAGACCTGACATGGTGCCTCTGGTCACTTCCTGTGTTTAATTTTTATTAGTCTGTGTGCATATGTGCAGAGGCCAAAGGTCGGATACCCCTGGGCAGGAATTACCTGTCAGGCACTTGTGAGTTGCCTGACATGGGGTGCTAGGAACCAAATGAAGGTCCTCTGCAAGAGCAGTTAGTCTATTACTGACTGAGCCATCTCTCCAGTTTTTCTTGCTGTCACCTACTAATCTGTCTAATACTAGAGAGCAAGGTGCTGTTCCTCCTGTACCCTATCTTGTGTATCCAGCTCTAGCTGCCATTGGAGTTTATAGGCTCCTTTGACATACAAAACCAAACCAAACCAAACCAAACCAAACCAAAAAAAAACCAGGCATGGCATAGTGGCATAGAACTTAAATTCCGAGTCAGGCAGATCTATTTGAGCTCAAGGCCAGCTTGGTCTACATAGTGAGTTCAATGCTAGCTAGGGCTACAAAGTTGAGATCCTGTCTTAAAAAACAAACAGAAAAGCCCTTTTATTCTTGGAATAAGTATGAATTCATGGGAAGTATCAAAAGGTATATAGGAAGGCTATTGACCCTTTTGCTCTTCCCAAGGTTAACAGTATATATGAATTTAGTGCAGATTTAAAACCAGGAATTTAACATTGGTGTAATTTACAGAGCTTATTCATCTTATACCTGCAGTCATATGTTTTATTTGTTTTTATCACATAAAGATTCATCTTACCACAACTGCTATTAAAACATAGCTATTAAAAAGCTGGATACTCAAGTAATCCCAGCTCTCAGGAGGCAGAAGCAGATGGATCTCTGAGTTCAAGGCCAGCCTGGTCAACAAAGCACGTTCCAGGACAGCCAGGGCTACACAGGGAAACTCTGTCTCAAAAACAAACAAGACAGTTCTACAGCTAGGCCTGGTGGCACAGGTCTGTAATCCTAGCTACTGGGGAGTCTGGGGCAGGAGAGTCACAAGTTCAGTGCCTGTCTGGGCCGCATGGTTGTTCAAGGCCAGCCTGAGCAATAAAGAAACACTCTCAAAATAAAAAATACAAACCAAAAAGGTGGGTGTGTATGGGAGTGCAGTTCAGTGGAAGAGCATTTACCCAGCATGACGAAGTCTTTGGGCTCATTCCTGGTGCCCAAGAGTGGACACAGTGCCATTGTCACCAGCCTCTCTCCTCTAAGCATCGCATTCCATGATTTCATTACTGAGACTATGTGGTTGGGAAGCATTCGCGTCCTGACTTGTGCTTACAGCCTTAGCAACGCTGTGTGCACACATTTGCCCCTCTTGCTGTGGAAGGAGCCCGCGAGGCAGGGAGGTTTCCATAACTCAGTACATTAGCAGGGGAAATTTTCAGCACTTGGCAACAAGACACATTTATCAATTAGGAACTATTGTGCTCTGCTTAGGGCCTATAAACATTTTTGATGGTTGGATTTTTTTTTCTTTAACTGGATGAAAGCATGAAATTTCAAAAGAAAAAGCAGATGTTTATTTACATGATTAGAGAGTGTAACCTATGTCACCTACATTAACTTAATATTTACATTTTATATTCAAAGAATGTTATTTTAAAATATTCTTTCTTACTTTTTTGAGACAAAAAAGCTTTCATATAGCCCAGGCTGACTTCACGTTCACTGTGTAGTTGATCCACCATGTGTGTTCTGGAGATCAAATTCAGGTCATCAGGCTTAGCAGCAAGCACTTCACCTGCTGAGCCATCTTCCTGCCCCCTTTTTGAGACAAAGTCTTACTTTACTATTACCTAGTTTAGCCTTGAACTTACAACAATCCTCCTGCCTTAACCACCCTAGTGTTAGGATGGTAGATGTGCCCCATCCTACCCAGCTGAGTTTCTTCTTTCATTTCCATAGTAATTAATTAGGCCATATTTTTCCTTATTTGATCAATCATAGCACTGATCGATTTACAGTGTGTTCTGTTTGTGTCAGCTGTACTTTTGGTGTTGAATGAGTGAGTTTGTTAAGTAAGCAGCAAAAGTAAAAGGACAGATAACAAGTAGCAGATAGAAGCCCCAGACAGATAGCAAAACATAATGAAATCAGTTGCAGCATCCAGCAGACCACAGGAGTGACCCAGCATTGAAAGCATGAACAAGTGTGCCGTCACCAGAGCAAAGGTTTACACTGAGCCAGTAGAGGTCCACCAGGGAAGATGAGGCAGTCAGTCAGAATTCCCAGTTGAGCTGTAGTTTTCCTGTTCCTACCACAGATTGATTGATTAGGTATGTATGTATGTATGTATGTATGTATGTATGTATGTATGTATGTATGTATGTATGAGACAGGGTCTCTCTGTATAACCCTGCCTGTCCTGGAAATCTGTAGACCAGGCTGGCCTCAAATTCAGAGATCTGCCTGTCTGTCTCCCAAGTGCTGTGGTTAAATGCGTGTCCCACCATGCCTGTTGCACCGCAGATATATGTATATCATGGGAGAAGTTATAATAAGTGCTATTGTAGAGAGTTTACCTTCTACCTGTACTCACATGGAAAAATGATTTTAAAGGCAGGATTTCACTTTGTAGCCTGAATGACCAGCCTGGAATGCACAGCTATGGCTGCCACTGCCTCATGAACGCTGGGATGAGCCATCACACCTGGCAGTGCAGTGTCTCTAATACCCTTAGCTGTTTTCTGCTTTCTGCTTTCCCTAGCTCAAAGCCATGGGCCACGCTGAGCCAGGGAGGCTGAAACAAGGGAGGGCCTCCTCACTCCTGAGGCCCATTTTCAACAAGCTTGAACTGTATACTAACTGTGAGTGTACCGATGTAATGCATGTTGTAGTGAGGGATAGAGCTTTGACTTTGCTTGATAGAAGACATCACCATGTAGTTTAGACCAGTCTTCTAGTTAGCTGTCTAATTGTCCTGCCTACCGCACCTCCTGATGTTAAAATTGCAAGCACACACCACTATGTGTAGGGACAGAATTTTTGTGGTGATTTAATTATTCTATAACTGTATACAAAATATAATTCAGGTTTCAAAGATGAAATAGTACAGTGATGTAGACTGTTTTATGCTAGATATTAGATAGTGAGATTGATACATTCATTTTATCAAAATTATGTGTACATGAATGTGTATGTGTCAGAGGACAACCTAGGGTGTTTTCCTTAGGTGCCTTCTACTTTTTGTTGGAAACTTGTCATTTAGGGACTGCCAAGATGGCTTAGCTAGTAAAAGGATTTGCTAGACAAGCCTGATATCCTGCATTCAATTTCTAGAACTCATCTGAAGATGAAACAGCATGGCTTTTTATTAGCTTCAACTTTGCCAGGTGAGCTAGACTAGTTGGCCAATAGCCAACTGTTTGTCTGCATGTCCCATGTTCCATTGCTATAGGATTACAAGTATGTGCCACTGAACATGTTGGTCATAGAGACCCAGACTCAGATCTTCACCATTGTAAGACAAGCCCTGAACCATCTTCCTAGGAATCCTTTGTCGTAGTTGTTCTCATCCTTTTTAAGATAGGGTTACAGTGTAGCCCAGGCTGGTCACAAACTCATAATGATCCTTCTGCCTCAGTGTACCAAGTGCTGAGATTACAGATGTGCATTGGTGATTTTCCTGCATGTAAGTCTGTGTGAAGGCATCATATCCCCTGGACCTAGAGTTACAGACAGTTGTGAATTGCCATGTGGGTGCTGAGGCTTGAACCCAGATCCCCTGGGAAGAACACCCAGTGCTCTTCACCATTGAGCCATCTCTCTAACCCCCACCCCCATGCCACTTTCTAATCAGCGTAGTTATTTGCTGAGCATGGGATGCACCAAAAGGGACTTGGTTCCCACGGGTTTCAGTTCTTAGATCCTTTCAGATTATAGCTTGCTGCCTCCATCTCTGTAATAGGGCCATTGCGCTAGATAGGTTGAATCTAAATAGTGTAATATTTCCCTGCTTGGCCAAGCATGAACATTCTTTATTCTTTTTCCTTGAGAATATGTCTTCAGTTTAACCCAGTGACATGTGATTGCTTACACCTGCCTCAGTACACAGGCTCATGGGGGAGAGGGGTCCTCTTAATCACTGAGGAACTCAAGATTCCTTTTATCCTAGGATGCCATCATCTTCAATATTGATTTCCAGAGGAAGAGGAAAAAAGATTGGAGATGATGCTTGTAGATGCCTGTTGTCTAGTTCTTGATTGGGTTTACACCCATGTTCTTTTGGCTGGGACTTGTGTTATTTGGTTTCAGTGCCAATGGAGAGGGATTCTAGCCTTGTGTGTTCAAAATCAAATGGGTTTAGGGAGCTGGTCTTCTCAACATTTTCTGTCTCTATTCCTTTTCTTCCATCTTTTCTTTTTTCTTTTGTTCTTTAATTTATTATTTATCTAGGCAGGGTCTCACTTGCATCCTTGTCTGGCCTGGCGCTCACTATGTAGATCAGGCCAGCCTTGAACTCAGAAATCTGTTTGTCTCTGCCACCCAAGTGCTGTGACTGTAGGTATGTGCTGTCACACGGGGCTCAAACATTTATTTCTGTTGCTTTGCCCACACAGAGTATATATTCACTCCATTCCCAAGGGAAGTAACTTAAGTCCCGCTATTACTCATTGCATCCAGCTCAGTGTTCACAGTCCCCTAGCAAAATACTGGAATCCGTTAGGTTTGTGTGTGTCTTCACCGGGTCAGGTCTTCAAAACATTTGAAAGATAAACAAACCTAAGAATGTTTTATTTCTTCAGAGTTTCACAGTTTTATTTCTCTTACTTCCTGATAATGTTCGATATATTAGATTTTTGATAGCTTGACTTGTCATTAGTCTTCTTAATTCTGATTTCACTGTGGCTTTGTGCTTTGTCTTTGTCCAACTCCATGATTGCCAGCAGATGTCCTGGAGAACATGATAGAACCACCGCAGCGGGACTCTAGTGCACCAGGAAGGTTCCATGTGGGTAGTGCAGAGTCCATGCTGCATGTTCGACCTGGTGGATATACACCTCAGAGAGCACTGATTAACCCCTTCGCCCCATCGAGAATGCCCATGAAGCTCACATCCAACAGAAGGCGCTGGATGCACACTTTTCCTGTAGGTAAGCTGGCTGCTCGGGTAAGAGCCGTGGACTGAGTTCCTAGCTCTGGTCTTAAGCACGAGTCAACCATGTGTCTTTAGTCAAGCATCTCAACTTGGCCCCACCAGTGAGATGGGTGTGCCTGCTGGGCTTTCCACAGTGTTCTCAGGAGCATCTTTGAAGACATGCTTGAGAAGAAGCTCTGTAACTGACCAGCTATGTTAACTGAAGGACTCTGTTTTTGTTTGTTTGTTTGTTTGTTTGTTTGTTTGTTTTGAAAGGGACTGTGCTTTCCTGAGCTTCCATTTTTCCTCATTTTCACCCTTTGCAATGGAGGTTGACTTTGAACTTATGATCACCACCACCATAGCCTGTTCATGTGATACTGGGGATCAAACCCAGAGCTTTGTACTTCATGCATACCAGGCAAGAACTGTCTCAGTTGAGTTACATCTCCAGTCCCAGGCTGAGATATCCCACTCCCTCTCTCTCTCTCTCCCTGCCAGCATGTGGACATGTATGGGGCTGTGTGTGTGTGTGTGTGTGTGTGTGTGTGTGTGTGTGTGTGTGTATGTGGTGTGTTTGTGTGGAGGACAGTGTCTTCTGTTGATCTTGGTTTTGGAGACAGGCTGTCTTATCAAACCTGGAGCTCACTGTTGGGCCAGACCAGCTTCCCAACAAGCCTCAAGAATTCTCCTGCTCTATCTTCCTAGCACTGGTGTTACAGGTACATAATGCCATACCCACCTCATGGATGCCAGGGAATCTGAACTCAGGTCCTCACTCACACTTAGCAAGCATTTATTTTACTGATTGAGCCAGCTCCCTAGCCCCTAGGCTAAGACCTCTTAAGAGAACTTTCTACCATGACCTTTAGCTCTTTTTGCTTTTTGTACTCCATCCTTCGTGCCTACATTACAAAAAAAAGAAAACAAACCAAAAACCTAGTCTCAAAACACTGTTGAGTTAGCTATCCTCTTGTAGACACATGACCCGCTAATAACTAAGACCCTTTCTTCTTCCCCAGGAGCCCAACCTCCTGGCTCCTCATTCCTATCCTCAGAGGCCCTTTCCCTTTTTACCCAATCTCTTGATCTCTACATATATTTACCTCTTTCACATTTGGGCTGTCATAGATATTTCTTCTACCCAGATGTCTTTCCTTTAATGCTTGCTAACCTTATTTAGCCTCTAACTTGGATGTTTCTGGGAAGTGCCTTTTACTAAGACGTAACTAATTCTGACCTTTCCTACTTTGTCTCTTTTGTGCTTAAGCACCTTGATTCCTAGAGTCACACTTTTTTTTTTGTTTGTTTTGTTTTGTTTTGTTTTTTTGTTTGTCTGTTTGGTTTTTGTTTTTTTGAGACATGGTTTTTCTGTGTATTCCCAGCTGTCCTGGAATTCACTCTGTAGACCAGTCTGGCCTCAAAGTCAGAGATCTGCTTGCCTCTGCATCCTGAGTGCTAGGAAAGTACTAAGGGTGTATACCACTATGCACCCCTCCCCCCCTCTTGTTATTTCATTTTTATTTTTCTTTTCTTTTCATCCTTTTGTCCTTCTATACTTGTCTATTTCTGTGTGAAACTAAGGAATCCAAATATTGTTAACATACTGGCCATGATTAAGCATGGAGCCTGCTTGAAGGAAGAGTCCTCTGTGGGAGCCTGATAGTCCCTTATATAATATGCCTCTTGCTGTGATCTCAGATCTCAGCACTTGGAAAGAAGAAACAGTATGCTGTCGTGTGCAGCATAGGCTATCAAGTGTGAATAACGCTCAGTGGTTCTTTCTCTGGGTAGGACCTTCTGGAGAGGCCATCCAGATCCACCATCAAACCCGGCAGAACATGGCAGAGCTGCAGGGCAGCAGGCAGAGGGACCCTACCCACTCCTCTGCAGAGCTGTTGGAGTTGGCATATCATGAAGCTGCAGGAAGGTGAGGATTTGCACAGTGCCCTGGAAGGTAGCACAGGACAGTGCTGAACGGATTGCTGGTGAGATGACACAGTAGTGACTTAGAGCATGTTGGGTCAAGGCTCTCCTTTGTCAGCCAGTGTCATTCCCATCCCAGGGCAAAGGGTAAAAGCAAACAGCCTGACATTTTGCCTGTACGAAGGCCCTGCTTTAGGTTTATTTTGAGCTTACGTCTTGTAAACATCCTAATTTTCTTCCAAACCTTGGTCAAAGATGAAAATGAGGTATCTCTTTTATCTTAGGGCTTGCCTATGCAATGCTGGGACAGATGATTCATGCTGTTGTCCTAGATGTCCTCCCTGTGACTTGGCATGTTAGATTTTAAACAAAAACTCTGAATGTCTTACAAAGCTTCTGAAGAGGGCAGTTAAGAGCACCGGCTGCTCTTCCAGAGGTCCTGAGTTCAGTTCCCAGCAACCACATGGTAGCTCACAACTATCTGTAATGGAATCTGATTCTCTCTCCTGGTGTGCATGAATACAGAGTACTCACATACATAAAAAAATATAATTTTTTAAGAAAGCATCTGAAGAGTCAGTGTAGGAAGAAAGTCATTTAAGTCTTTATGAGCTTGATTCTCACTTAAACCTGGACTCACTGCTCCTAAATTGCTTTGGGAAACACTTTACAAAGAGCAGCTTTCCTGGCCCCTTCCTCTTTGCTGGGGGTTGTTCATGTGGAGGTCTGGATGATGTGTGGTCCTCTTCACCATGCTAACTCTGGTCCATCTATTCAAGGATGTTATATCTTGCCTTTGTTATTTAGCTGGGAGACATAGGGCAGAAAAGGGAAGTAGTCTAGCATGGTGGTAGGTAAGCAGCTAGGGAGGGGACCCAAGGCTGGCACATGAATGAAGCACTACTCCGTGATGGTTTGAGGTATGGATCCTGAAGATTGCCAGATTATGGGAATGAATATTCAGGCATGTTTTTCATGAGCCTTCCCTCTCCCCATACACCCTTCCCCACACACTAGGAACAGGGTGAGCAGGGGAAAAAAAAAGTGATGATCTACATTAATTAAGCCAAGTGGCCTGGCTTTGTTCTCTGCAGGCACAGCACTTCCCGCCAGCCTGGTGACAACTTGAACTTCAGTGGAACGGAAGAGCTTTCTGTCAGCCTGCTTAGCAACAGTGGTGCAGGTAACTCATCCAAGAAAAGTTGGGATGTTCAGAGCAGGCTCACATCTAGAAGTGACACAAAGGCCAGAAAAGCAGGACCGTGTCTATTTTGAGGATTTTTTTTTTCAGCCACAATTTGGGGTGACCTATTTAGAAGCAATACTGTATAATGCATGGAATTATAAATGGGCTGCACATTACATTTTTAGCTAAGAACATGTTGGTCAAGACATTTTATCACTCTTTTGTCAGGGAGTCCTGATGAGGCCTGTGAGGGATTGAGGGTGTCACCAAAGTCTGAGTGGAGTAGTCTGTTTTACAGGTGCTTTGGGTGGCTAGGCCTGGGGAAAGAATGCACCCTCATGTAAAAACAGGCCCAAAGGGAAACACTGAAGTTTCTGTTACAACATCAGAAAAGAGAAAGATGCCTGTGGGTGGTTGCATACACCTTTTTAATCCCAGCACTCCAAAAGCAAAGATAGGCAGAGCTTTGTGAGTTTAAGGCCAGGCTGATCTCCATAGTGACTAGGCCAGCCAATCCTATATAATAAGATACTGTCTCAAAAGAGAGAGGGTGGAGGGAGGTGATGTGTTTATGTTGAGGAGTAAGTGTGCATCTCAGGCTTGAAGAGGTAGAAATTGGTTCAATGGAAAGTTAGAAGGTTCAAATTGTGGAGTATGAATTTGGCTTTTACTCCTTCTGGAAACACTTTTATTATTCAGTAATCCCAGTAAGGCATATATTGCTAAATGCAGTTTACGTGGTCAATTGACTGCCCAGACATAGAGACTAATGTCTCATAGCAGCCAGGTCCTTGTTTGAGCACTCTAGTCAGAGTGCTGTAAGAGTATCAAGGGAACATGAGCTTTGATAGGCACCTTTTCTGCAAAGCAGGGATTTTACATGATGAGTGTGGAAAAGTTTAAACAACAAAATATGGCTGCTTCATTATGTCTGTGTTCTATAAATTGACTAAGGTTTCTAGAACTTTTCTGGAGATTTGTGAAAGGGGCTAGAGAGTTGGCTCAGCAGTTAAGAGTAACTGCTGCTCTTCCAAAGGACCCAGGTTCAGTTCCCAGACCCATTTGGCAGCTTACAACTGCCTGCAACTCCAGTTCCAAGGGTCTGTAAATTAAATTTTTTTTTTTTTTTTTTTTTTTTTTGTGAAAAAGTAAAGCTGTGTAAAGGAGTTTAATGATATTGTTCTTAGGTCACTGGTAGATTGACCCAGCTATATTCCTTTAGCCGATGGATAAGACTTGGGGAGTGAGGTAGCAATAAGAGAATCCCAGAATGATAAATCAAATGGCATTTGATTTATTCAGTTATTTTAAATGAGAAACAAGTAAAAGTTTGGGGCTTTGGAAGTTCTTTATACCATATATTCAGGGTGCTTAAATGTTACATGGCTGCAAGATTTTCTCAGGTGCCTGCAGAATGTTACAAAGGCAGCATTTTTCACTTTGCTAAACTATAAAGCTAGTTTTTAGGAACCAGAATTTGAGTTTTCCTGGCTTTGGTGTAGAGGGTTACTAAGGAGGACTTCTCTGGGGTTCCTGGACTATTCCTTGAACCAGCTTGACTTGTGATTAATTTAACCCAGATGGTAGCAGCCAGCACCAGGATTTACCCAGAAGAGCCCAGTGATCTGGAGTATCACAGAGATACCACATGATTGCCTATGTGTAGCTTTTGGAATTTTAAAGTTTCCTGTTGAGAACAGAGTGAGCTTTCAAAGAGTCTTGGTTTGAGGATGGGTGAAGAAGATCTTTAGGTGATACTCTCATATCCTCTTAGCTGAGTTTCCTGATACAAATATGCAGATAGACAGGCAGACAGACAGGCATTGGGAAAATGTTTGCTGCCTCTCTTCTTGCTGTCTCTCTCTTCTTGGGCTCCTAAGATGTCAATCTGCCTAATTGATGGACTGTTCTTCTTGGGTGACTGGCAGATGCCTCATCGTGGATGTGATGTCTGATGTGCCGTGCTTCTGCCCACCCGTCCTTCTCTGCTGCCTTTTGTTCTGATATTGGCTCCTCAGCTCCCTTCTTACTGCTTTTGTTCCGGCCTTTATTGTCTCTGTTCAGGATTATTACAGTAGCTCTCAATAGCTCTTCCTGCTCTGTTCCTTTCTCCTTCAGGGAACTATCATGAAATACCTCATGAAATGCATGAACGGAAGTGTTTCAAAATGCAGGTCTCACCAGCTTCTTCCCACAGGCACAGCCTCCAGTGGCTCTTCATGGCTTTTGACCTGTCTCCTGTGTCCCTTTGTGTCTTCACCTGACTCCTCTTTACGAAGGTGTTGAGTATGGAAAAAGTACAAGCTCTAGACTCTTAGGACATAAGACTCACTCCATAATGAATCGTGAGCACTTTGGGCTAGTTACTACCTTCTGTACACCTCAGATTCTTTATTATGAAAATGCAAACAAAAACTAAAATGCGATAATCCACAGGAATGCTTAGAACAGTGCCAGGCAGGCACAGGTGGTTAACTGATGTGGGTGTTGTTAATAATATGTGGGTTTTCTTATATCCCAGCCACTGTCTTCATATTTATCTGTGTAGAATATGCTTCTTTCCTGTCTGCAAGTCTTGTTCTTCCTAAAGACATGCACTGTCCATGATGGTTCAGCTTCAAGTGTGCCTCCTTTTTTGAAGCTTTTCCTTGAGGTTTCCTCTCCATCCCATTTTTTTCTAAGAGACGTTAGTCATGCTTACATACAGCGCCTGATGTGAATCCCAGCTGGACAACTTGGTACATCATGATCCTGTTTGTTTCCATGTCTGTAGCTGGACTGTTACTATTTAGTAGGTTCTTTTGTTTCCCACCCTTTATCCCTTCAGTTTCACCCTCTAATCACTAGATAGAATAGAAAGGAGAGAGAGAGAGATTAAGATTCCTGAATCTAATTTCTTCTTGTTTCTACTTTTAATATGACTAACAAACTAAACCAAACCCCCCGAATGACCAACAACCACTAACCACACACCTATGGGGCTCTAGCATTTATACACCCTCTGAAAAGTCCCCAGAATTCCAAACATTTCACAATCACAGAAACTATCTGTAGCTGGCAAAAACCATACCTCTGTTAGTACACGAGGCAAATCATAGTCAGCTGCTGAGGACAGTTTGAAGCAGCCCATTATCCCCACACCTGAAATTAAAACAAAAACATATTCTTACAATATTTTTATGTTTTTTAAAGATACCAAAATTCTAGAATTCTCACTACACGTTTGTTTCTCCACTCGACTTAAAGTGTTTGTGGTTATTTGTTACCCTATAATGTTTGTCATATTTATTGACGAATGAAATTTTATTTTGAAGACTATGCTGTCATGTGAGAAGTTTTAGAATGGCCTATAAAATTATTGTTTATTTTGTACTTAAGTATTTGTGTTTGCTTTGTTTGTGTATTCTACAGCATTTAGCTTCTTAGAAACTGTGGCCTCCTTGGGTTTTTCGGGTCAGGTGATATAGCTATATGGGGTCACCCTTTTCTTGCCTATCTGCTTATGACCTGTAGCATATGTTTTGAAAAGGGCCAGTACATATCAGAAAGTGATCTATAACCACATGGGAATTGAGTTTCCTCTTTGAAATTAGGTTACCTGGTAAATCATTTTAATGAGCACAGACAGAAATTAGGCTAAATTTTCGTAACTTTCATTTGCATGTACAATAACCAGTTAGTGTCCCGTCTCTCTTAGAGTCTTATCTTCATTGTCCTAGCCTAGTCTGAAGTCTGGTAACTGGTCTCAGCTTTCTCTTGTGCTCTTCCATACTGCGCATCTTCTTTTTTTAAACGTTTATTTATTTATTTATTTGTTCGTTCGTTTATTTATTTATTCATTTATTTATGTATTTATTTATTTGTTTATTATCTGTGTGTGCGTGTGAGTATTTGAGCATATGTTGGGAGGAGATGTACACAGTCGTGCACATGCAGAAGCAGGAAGAGGGCATCAGGTGTCCTATTAGCTTTCATCCGTATTTTTGTGACAGGATCTGTCCCTGAACTTGGGACTCATACCTGCTCAGCTAGTTTAGAAGCCAGGGATTCTTTTTTATCCCTTTAGGAAACAGAGTTTCAGGCATTTACAGGAAGGAATGCCTGTTTTGATGTGGCTGATGGGATCTGAATTGCAGCACTCATAATTACAGAAGAGTGTTCGTAAGTGCTGAGCCATCTCTCCAGCCCCTATTTTGTAAAGTAGAAGTCAAATCATGAAACAGAGTCAAATCATAGATGCTCTCTGAGGGCTTCTCAACTAACATTTAAAAGCTAAGGCATTACCGTCACTGGCAGCCCTCACAGCCATGTCCCCCGTCAGCTTCAGGTCTCATGTGCTTCCTCTTACCCTTTCTCTAGCAG